GGACAGAAAAGGGAACTCCCAACACTCAGAGCGAGTGCAGAAAATACCCTGACTTTTTCTCACTCTCATTTTCTTCATTCCCTTGTACCCCAGCTGCCAGTCAAGCCTGCGGCAGGAACGATGGCAGCAACAAAAAGCTACAGGAACCAAAACTCTACGGGACAGAAATCTTCCTTTCTGTTCAGCAGAGCTGCAACTCCAAGAGGGCAGAGACAAGCTCTGCTTTGTTTTTTTTTTCTTCTGTTTTCCCATTGCTGTGACACAATGTGGAAATGGGGAGCCCCAGGGAACCTAAAAGTACCAGGAAGATAGTGGAAAGTGTGGCGGGGGGCAGGCAAGCAACCTCATAAAGCTATTTATGAATTCTTGGGCTCACCGCTGACCTGCATTAAAGACATTAAAGTAGGTATTATAAAAATGCTCAAATAAGCAATCACAAACACTCCTGAAACAAAAGTTAAATAGAAAGTATCAGTAAAAAAAATAGGACAAATTAAGGAGAACCAAATAAACATTTAGAACAGAAAAATACAATAATCAAAATTTTAAAACTCGCTGGATAGATCCAATAGCAGAAATGACAGAGGAGTCAGTGAATGTGAAGACAGATTAATAGACGTCATCCAATCTGACCAACAGAGAAAGAAATGAGCAGAACCCCAGGCACCTGTGGGATATAACAAAAAATCTAACATTTGTGTCATGAGAGTCCCAGAGGACACAAGAAAGTGCGTGCTAAAAAAATCGTTGGTAAATTACACTATTGCAAAAAATAATTTGAAGAAGTAATAGCTGAAAACTTCCCATTTGGCAAAACAACACAAACTGACAGATTCAAAAAACTGTGCAAACCTGAAACAGAATAAATTCAAAAACATCCATGCCCAGACACTTCAAAATCAAATTGCTGAAAACTAAAGACGAAGAAAAAATTTTGAAAGGTCCAAAGAGAAATGGCACATAACCTATAGGTGAACAACAACAGTGAATTTCTCCTCTGAAATCATGAAGCCCAGAGGAAGTGACATATTCTTCAAGTGCTGAAAGAAAAGAATTGTAAACCCAGAATTCTACATCCAGTGAAAACGTGCTTCGGAAATAAAGTTGAAATAAAGACATTCTCAGATGAAGGAAAACTAAGAGAATCTGTAGCCAGCAGATCTACTCTAAAAGAATTGCTTTAAAAAAGTTCTTTGGAGAGAAGGGAAATGATAACAGAAACTCAGAACATCAGGAATGAAAGAATAACAACAGAAATCACAAATATCTAGGTAAATACAAAACGCTATCCTTCTTGAGTTCTTTACAACATGTTTGGTGGTTAGATACAAAAAGTATTATAAAACTGCCTGATGGGGTTTTCAGTGTAAGAAATGGTGAAGAGGCCGGGCGCGATGGTTCACGCATGTAATCCCAGCACTCTGGGAAGTCGAGGCGGGAGGATTGCTTGAGGTCAGGAATTCAAGACCAACCTGAGCAAGAGTGAGACCCTGTCTCTACAAAAAATAGAAAACTTAGCCAGGCGTGGTGGCGCTCGCCTGTAGTCCCAGCTACTCAGAAGGCTGAGGCAAGAGAATTGCTTGAGCCCAGGAGTTTGAGGTTTCAGTGAGCTATGATGACACCACTGCACTCTAGCCCAGACAACAGAGTGAGACCCCATCTGAAGAAAAGAAAAGAAGGAAATGGTGAAGGTTAAGGAGACTTATATGGTGGCAAGATTTCTATATGCCAATTAAAGTGACAAAATATTAATTCTAAATAGACTGTGAAAAATTGAATATGTATTTTGTAATCACTGGAGTAACCATTAAAAACCAAACCAAAAATAAATAACAGAAGATAATAGGAAAATCTCCAAACACCTAGAAATTAAACAATACACTTCTAAATGATCCATGGGTCAGTACGGCTATCTGAAGGACAATTAGAAAATACGTTGAACTGAATGAAAATAGAAATACAAACTATTAAAATTTCTAAGCAGCTAAAGCAGTTCTTAAGAGAGAAATTTATAGCATTAAAATGCTTATATTAGAAAAGAAAAAAAGGTCTTGAATCAATCATCTAAGCTTCTTAGAAAATTAGAGAAGAGCAAAGTAAACCAAACCAAATAGAAGGAAAGAAATAGAATATGATAAAATTCAATGAAATTATATTTTTTTCTATTAGATTTCATTAAAAAAAAATGGTTGAGACCCACTGACTTAATGTAATTGCTCATTAATGAGTTACCACTCAATTTGAAAACATTGATTTTTACAACATGACTTCCAGAAGGAAATATTCTGGACTCCCTTCCTAATTTGTAAGTAAAAATTTGAGGTACAATTATAAAATTGAGTTTAAGGCCTCATTAGAGAATATAACAAGTCAAATTTGTCTTCCTTTATGAACCTTTCCTAATTCCATCATGTAGATAATCCCTTCTTCTGTGTTTCGAAGTGATATATCTTCAAATAGCCAATATAGCATTTTTCAGGGTACTGAAGGGAGTGGCATTCTGTTGGTCTCTCTCAAAATTAAGGTCCCTGAGGATAGGGATGATGGTGTCTTACTCTTTTTTCTAGCTCTAACTTTTCTTTACGTGGGTAGTATTGATTGATATTACCATATTGCAATTTAAAAATTTTATTCATTAATAAAATAAACTCATTACATGTTAACAAAAATCTTTTATGAAAATTACATTTTCAAAAAATAGAAAAATGGCATTTACATTTTTGCAAATCTCTTTACTCTGACTTAATAGAAGATATCTAGATTATTGTATCTACTTGTACATTCAACCTGTTGCAATATGATATTTTGATTAAAGTAAATGAACAAAATCTAGACTCACACTATCTAGATAGCTTGAAAGGGAGTATTAATATTTTAACAGCCTTTTCAAAAAAATTGTGGATACTCTTCTTTGATACTACATCAAAATTTGACAAGTGGTAGTTTCTCAAAGGTTAGTTGCAATGTGGAATCTTCAATCTTATCAATGAACTTTTTGTACTCTGTTACATCTTGTACTTTGAATGGTTCATTTATCCATGTGTATCTTAACATTGTGGATTGGTCATTTGGGAAATATTGGCTCACTGAGCTATTCAGACATCCCAATCATTGACACATTTTATTGTCCAATATCCAAAAGTGGCATTTGTTAATATCACCACTGATTTCATTAAAAAGGTTTGTAGGTATTGGGAAGCTGTCAAGTTCACTGTGGTAAATTAAAATTTTCACTTGAAAGCTCAAATTTTATCATTGGCAACAGTTATTTTCCTTGAAGTGACAAGCTCATTTCATTCATTTTTGGGAGACTATATGCCAGCCATCGGTATGAATAACCACAATTTCTCAGTTGTTTGTTCAGGTAAAATGGTGTTCCAGGAAAATGCAGCCTGTTTGGCCCACAGCTTACATAATTCCACAAATGCTTTTCCTTAAGACAATTATAAAGCTTTATGTGTATTTCCATTCAGTCATATTAAAATATTGAAAAGACACATTGGGTGTTGTCAATAAAATATATGACTGATTCATCAGGGACATTCTTAAGCAAATGCACAGCAGTGAAGAATACAATGACTAAGTACCACTGCCTTGGTTTGTGCTATGGCACAAACCGTTTTAGCCACCGTTGTTTTTGCACCAACAGTGCCAACACCACCACAGTGATAGTGATAGGCAAACAGTTTCGAATGAGCAGAGCCCCCCACAGCTCACACTGTGAGAATGTCGGTCCGATGAGTGGAGTGGCTGCCAGGCCTGTGCATCCAGCTGCCCACTGGGAGACGGCCCTTGGGAGCAGAGCCTAAGATCACTCCGCGCTTAAACATGGGGCCTCCCCACCTGATTCAGGGCTCGCTAAGCAACCTTTTGGTTAATGAATTGCCACGTGGTTAAACTTCAGGCAGAAAATGCCAAGGGGCTAGGCTGACGCAACTCTTTGGTCTGCTTCATAGTGACACTTCTGAGTACATATTAAAAATTACCATTATGCTTTCTGTTACACAGTCTCTGTAAGCTTTGTTGAGTCAGCAGCCCTGAATCCAGTCAATTCTGGGACACTGACACTAGTTTCTGAGAGTAGCTATCTTGTGAGAACTTCTCTATATGGTTTTGTTTCTTAGGACACCTTTGAAATGCTCTACATGAAGATGACACTCTATGGCAATTTCAAATATAAAATGAGATTTGAGGGATCTAAAAACAACAAAAACTAGTATGTAAAATGTTAAAAATAATATTTCCCAAATACAGTTTCTCTAGAAAGGATTAAAATATTATTTCCTAAGTTTATCTTGAGAAAAGATAACTATTCAATATTCTTATAGTTTGGTGCTTTAAACATTGAACAAAAATATTGATAAAGTGAGATTTAAGTGCAGGTACAGCAAACTAGTTTGCTCAACACTCCCAACTCCTTTCTGGCATGTCTTCCTGAATCATTTATAGCTGGAAATAGCTTATAAGTATAAACTACATTTCCCAGATTCCTTTGCAGTGAAGAGTTTAACATGTCATATAGGTTCCTTCCAAACAGATGCACTAATTTGCCTTTAGTTTGGAACCGCACTACCAGGGAAGGGAGGCAGGTGTGCTTGCAGGAGCGTGGCAGAGGTGGCGCAGTCCTGGAGCTGGCAGCCAGGGTGTGGCTTCCTCATATTCCTCATTCTGCAGTTTCCCGATTCTGGCACAGGCAGCAACAACTTGATGGCCCACTTCTGTAGTGTGGTTTTGGGCTGCACTTCTAAAAGATCAGGCAATTATTCTGTGAAGCTAGCTATACACCTGAATAAACCCGTTGGCTTATCCCTTGAGTGGATTTTGTTGCTTATAGTCAAGAACTGACCAATTCACATTTTAACATTTCCTCTAACATAATCATGTTTCTGGTTTCTAAAGTTTTATAGCAATATTTTCTTCCTCAATTGTTTTTCTAAGCTGAGACAATGTCCCTGTGTATATAGTTAAATGCTATTAAAACAAATCAAACTACTGTGGCGTTGTTTTTAGATACATCTATAATTTTATTATAAAACCATTCTTTTGGCATTAGTTGGTTACAGTGATAGCAAGAGGCTGTGAGTGTGGCATAGCAGTTCTGATGTAACAGCTGTACTCCCTGCTTACTGAACCAACCCTTCAGTTACCTCCTCTCCGTGACATGTGAGCTGCAGTCATTACTGCTGCAAATCCTGATGCAGATACCACTCAGGGAGGGGTTGATGCTAAGGGATTAGAGTAAATGTTGATAAGACTACAAAAGCTCCTTTATGGGAATTTTCTTTCCCCTCCCTTCCAATTACTTTGCTTTAAAAGAATCAGATTACTTAGAGCTAGTCTCAACAGCAGCGGCACCCAAGGAGCATCCCACTTAGTTCTTGTTAAAAGCAATACCTGTACAATGTGTGTTTTACACCACAGGCAAAGAGAACGGACCACTCTAGTTTTAAGCTCCTGTATTAAAGTCCCTTAAAAAAATAAAAGCATTCCATCAAGTTCTTCTGGATGGTATTATTGCTGTATATTTGTTGGTGGGTCACTTTCTGTGCTGTGTTTGCTCTGAAGGGATCTTCCAACATATCTCCAATATTCCTTCCTTATAGTGTCCTTTTCTTTAGCTAAGATTTCACATAGCTGAAAATGAAAGATAGAAATTTATTAAAGCAAATGTTTAATTCAATCTCAAGGGCAAATGCCTTTGAGCCAATATAACGTAACTCTGGTCTGTTCAAAGGAGACATACAGCTGGAGTTACATACTATGTCCACGAGTGATGTCAATGCTGCCTAAACAGAAGTAGCCCTGCACCGAATGCTGAGCAAACATGTTGAAAAGGGGCATGAATATTTGTGGGACTGGGCAGACCCAATTCTGAGACACCAAAAAGGAAAGCAGAGTCCCACCAGCTTACCTCTAGTGCTTTATTAAGAATGTCTTCCTTGTTGTCACATTGGTTTTCTAGCATGTCTTCATAGATATCCACAAGAAAGGCAATTAGGTAGGGGGAACTGTGACTTGGTTGTAAATCAAGTAATTGATTTAATAGATTAGGATATTTGGAAAGACCTCGATCCTGCAAAATCCTTAAAAGAAAAAAAAACCAACTCAATTTTGAAAAGGAAGAATAAAAACAGTATAAAGATCAACAGAAAACCCCTGAAACATAAGAAAGAAAAAGAGACTTATTTTGAATGATGAGGCTGATACTAAATGAAACTTTTCAATTATGTGAATCTTATCATAGATAATTAAGAGATGAGTAAAATTAGTTTAAAAAATGAAGTTTGTAAGTGATCATTTAGAATTTAAACTGTGCAATGCAGAAAATAAATCACCTTCTTAAAATTAAAAAGGAAAAAGACAGGTTCACGTTTCTCCCTGAGATGGCTCCTTACGCCGTTAGTGCTCCAGACATTACAGGGCTCGCCCTGACACAGCTCCAGATATGACTGGGCTCCACGCTCTGCGTTCTTTGGGCCTAGTTTCGTTGGAGACCTCTATGTTTAACAAGGAGCTGGGTTATGTCGGTGGCCAATAAGTGAAACCTTTTCTATTTAAGGAGTAAGACTTGTTAATCAGAGATCTCTAGAAATGAAAACAGAAAGGTCGGCTATCCATCTGTGCAATTTGCTTATAAATAGTCTACTGTGCTTTACTGTGTTCCTGAGCTAAGCAGAACATGGGTGTGTGTATTTCATTCTTTGACATAAAGACTACATGATTCGGCCGGGCGCGGTGGCTCACGCCTGTAATCCTAGCACTCTGGGAGGCCGAGGCCGGCGGATTGTTTGCGCTCAGGAGTTCGAGATCAGCCTGAGCAAGAGCGAGACCCCGTCTCTACTAAAAATAGAAAGAAATTATTTGGACAACTAAAAATATATAGAAAAAATTAGCCGGGCATGGTGGCGCATGCCTGTAGTCCCAGCTACTCGGGAGGCTGAGGCAGGAGGATCGCTTGAGCCCAGGAGTTTGAGGTTGCTGTGAGCTAGGCTGATGCTAGCACTCACTCTAGCCAGGGCAACAGAGTGAGACTCTGTCTCAAAAAAAAAAAAAAAAGACTACATGATTCATAAATAAAATTAAAACTGCATCACTGTTTACTCATGGATTGTTCTAAAAACAACTGTTCTTGGGAGTTACCATAAGACTGTTATACTTCTGCTCTTAGATCCAAAAAAATGAAAAATTATTTAGAATCCCTTTGAGATCTGAATATAGAATACATTCCATGGTGTATCATATTAGTAGCTTATTTGTTTTTTATATAAAAAAACAAAAACCACCTCTTACCCTTTCAAATAGTTCCATGCACTTTCATTATGTGGTACTAGTTTGATCATTTCTAGGGTATACCTGCAAGAAAAAATTTTTTAAAAAGCAGCACAATGATTATATAGAGTTTTACCAAGATCGTGGCACAGTTTGGCCACATGCTTTCACTTGTGTGAGTCTTCACATAAATGTCTGTCCGTGGACTGTGGTACCTCGTAGGTCATATCTAAATTGGAGAGTCGCTGCAGTCTGCATCTGTCAGTTCTCATTTACACAGTTCCCCACCCTGTATATTTGTATCCAGTTCTAGGGAGTGACAACTAATCTAGAGGCTTCAACAGGAAAAGAAGTTAATATGGAATGTTTCCTTTAATATTATAATATGGAAGACTTTCCTTTTGAAGGAAATGTCAGCTAAAACAAGGAGACTTTCATTGGTAAAGCAACCTTGGGAAAAAAGTTAAAGATTTACTTATGCCTAAAAAAAATCCTTAGTCATAGAAAAAGGAGAATTAACATAACCTTAGAGGCTAGGCACGGTGGTTCCCACCTGTGATCCCAGCACTCTTGGAAAGCCAAGGTGGGAGGATCACTTGAGGTCAGGAGTTTGAGACCAGCCAGAGCAAGAGCAAGACCCCCATCTCTACTAAAAGTAGAAAAAATTAGCTGGGCAACTAAAAATAGAAAAAAATTAGCCGGGCATGGTGGCACAGGCCTGTAGTCCCAGCTACTTGGGAAGCTGAGGCAGGAGGATCACTTCAGCCCAGGAGTTTGAGGTTGCTCTGAGCTAGGCTGGATGCCACGGCACTCTAGCTGGGGTGACAGAGTGAGACTCTGTCTCAAAAAAACAAACAAACAGAAAAATAAGCTTAGGAGCCATGATAAAAAAATAGCATGGAAATTATATAGACAAATAATAAAAATTAAAAACCAACACAAGTATGTATTTCTTATATTCCAAAATGAGATTACTAATAAAATACGATGCTATTCCCAGTTAAAATGGCCACTCCATACCTTTCTTTTCCCCTTAAGCAGATTATTAAATATAATTCAGACCACGAATTCCAAAGACGTTACAGAACTCTGCGTCACCATATACTTGCTCAGATGATTAAATCGCTAACTAAAGCTTAGCAGTCTTGGTTCTGTTACAGTGTTGTTACTATGGGATTTTTCTTCCAGGAAGCAATAATAAACTCATTTAACATTATAAAAAGATTTGTCCAACTACTTTTATATAACCTAATGTTTTCATTATTTGTAAAACCACGTCCCTGCAGGTCTTAGCTGGTCCTTGTTTAAGATTCCTAATTTCATTTTGGCAATACCAAAATTTCTATTTACATACACGTGCACTAAAGCTGTGGTCCCCAACCCATGGGCTGCGGAACCGTATCCCTCTGTGGCCTGTTAGGAACCAGGCCACACAGGAGGTAAGCGGCCAGTGAGCCAGGGAAGCTTCATCTGTATTTACAGCCGCTGCCCATCACTCACATCACCACGTAAGCTCCGCCTCCTGTCAGATCAGCAGGATCGAGAACCCTACTGCAGACTGTGTGTGCAGGGATCTAGGTTGTGGCTCCTTCTGAGAATCTAACGCTGCAGTGAGCGATGATGACGACACTGCACTCCAGCCTGGGCAACAAAGTAAGACTCTGTCTTAAAAAAAAAGTGCTAAGCGATGAAATCTGAATTTTCTCTATCTAAGTCCCACTACTTAGATTGGATTAAGAATAAAAAAATCAAGCCTGACCAAGAGCGAGACCCCATCTCTACAAAAAATAGAAAAATTAGCCAGGCGTGATAGCCTACACCTGTGGTCCCAGCTACTCGAGTGGCTGAGGCAGAAGAATCACTTGAGCCCAGGAGTGGGAGGCTGCAGTGAGCTATGACAATGCCACTGCACTCTACCCTGGGCGACAGAGACCCTATCAAAAAAAAAAAAAAAACAAAACCAATAAATACAATCAATCAGTAAGTCCACCGTTAATCTTTACACCGATACTATTTAATAGGACTTGCAGTGACGATGGAAATGTTTAAAGAACATGCATGTCCAAGATGGTAATCGCTAGCCACATATGGGTACTGAACACCTGAGAAGCGACCAGTACAACTGAAAAACTGTATTTTTAATTTTATATAATTTTAATTGATTGAGCTTTAAATAGACATGTGGCTAGTGGCTAATGACTACCATTGTGAACAGTACAGGCATACCTTGCAGATATCGTGGGTTCAGTTCCAGACCACCTCAATAAAGCAAATATCAAAATGAAGTGAGTCACATGAATTTTCTGTGAATTTTTTTCATAAAAGTTACGTTTACACTACACTGTAGTCTATTGAGTGTGCAATAGCATTATGTCTAAAAACATAATGTACATACCTTAATTAAAAAATACTTTATTGCTAAAAAATGCTAACAATCATCTGAGCCTTCAGCCAGTCACAATCTTTTTGCTGGTGGAGGGTCTGGCCTCGATGCTGACGGCTGCTGACGGATCACGGTGGTGGCTGCTGAAGGCTGGGGTGGCTGTGCCAATTTCCTAAAATAAGACAACAAGGAAGTCGCCACATTGACTGACTCTTCCTTTCACAAAAGATTCTCTGTAGCATGTGATGCTGTTTGACAGCATTTTCCCACGGTAGAACTTCTTTCAAAATTAGAGTCCATCCTCTCAAACCCTGCCACTGCTTTATCAACTAAACATCTGGAATATTCTAAATCCTTTGCTGTCATCTTAACAGTGTTCACAGCGTCTTCACCAGCAGTCGATTGCGTCTCCAGAAACCACTTGCTTTGTTCATCCTTAAGAAGCAACTCTTCATCCATTCAAATTTTATTGTGAAACCGCAGCAATTCAGGCGCGTCTTCAGGCTCCACTTCTACTTCTAGTTCCCTTGCTATTCCCACCACATCTGCAGTGACTTCCTCCGCTGAAGTCATGAACCCCTCAAAGTCATCCACAAGGGATGGAATCCACTTCTTCCAAACTGCTATTCATGTTAAGATTTTGACTTCCTCCCAGGAATCTTACTTGCATCGAGAATGGTGAATCCTTTCCAGGTTTTCAATTTACTTTGCCCAGAACCATCGGAAGAATCACTATGGCAGCTGTATGTAGCCTTAGGAAATGTGTTTCTTAAATAACAAGATTGAAATTACTATCTGAGCCAGGGTCTGTAAAATGGGTGTGTTAGAGGCATGAAAGTAACATTAATCTCCTGCACATCTCCATCAGAACTCTTGGGTGACCAGGTGCATTGTAATATTTTGAAAGGAATCTTTTTTTCTGAGGAGATCAGAACAGTGGGCTTAAAATAGTCAGTAAACTATGCTGTAAACAGACATGTTGTCATCCAGGCTTTGTTGTGCCATTAACGGAGCACAGGCAGAATAGATTTAGCATCATTCTTAAAGGCCCCAGGATTTTCAGAATGGCCAATAAGCACTGACTTCAACTTAGAAGTCTCCAGCTGCATTACCCCACAAGAAGAGTCAGCCTGTCCTCTGAAGCCAGGCATGGACTTTTCCTCTGTGCCTAGGAAAGTCCTAAATGACATTTTCTTCCAATAGAAGGCTTTTTCATTTACATTGAAAATCTTGTTAGGATGGCCACCTTCATCAATGACCTCAGCTAGATCTTCTGGATAACTTGCTGCAGCTTCTACATCAGCACTGGCAGCTTCACTTTGTACTTTCATGGTATGGAGACAGTTTCTTTCCTTAACCGTCATGAACCAACTTCTGCTAGCTTTAAATTTTTTTTCTGCAGATTCCTCACCTCTCAGCCTTCATGGAATTGCAGAGGGGTCAGGCTTTGGCTTAAGGGAGTGTTGTGGCTGGTTTGCTCTTCAATGCAGACCACTCAAACTTTCTCCATATAAGCACTAAGGCTGTTTTGCTTTCTTATCATTCGTATGTTCACTGGAGTAGCACTTTTAATTTCCTTCAAGAATTTTTCCTTTGCATTCACAACTTGGCTAACTTTGGTGCAAGAGGCCTAGCTTTCAGCCTATCCCAGCTTTGGCATGCCTTCCTCACTAGGTTTAACTGTTTCTAGCTTTTGATTTAAAGGGAGAGACAGCTGACTCTCTTTTTCACATGTACACTTAGAGGCCATTGCAGGGTTATTAATTGGCTTAACTTCCATATTGTTGTGTAATGTTTCAGGGAATAGGGAAGCCCGAGGAGAAGATGACGGAGGACACACACAACACTTATTGATTAGGTTCACCATCTTATACGCGGGCAGTTCATGGCACCCCAAAACAATTACAATAACATCAAAGATGACTGATCAAAGATTACCATATAGATATAATAATGAAAGCTTGAAATATTACAGGGATTACCAACATGTGACACAGACACAAAGTGAGCACATGCTGTTGGAAAAATGGCACTGACAGGCTTGCTCAATGCAGTTTCCACAAACCTTCAATTTGTAAAAAGTAGTATCTGCAAGGTGCAAAAATAAGATATGCCTGTATAGCTTTAGACAGAAGAGCACTAGAAAGAAAGCGTAAGGTGTGCTTGAGGGGTATGTCTGCTCTAGACATAAGCCTGGGACAGAAAGTTAATGTGGGACTTGGACTGAAGATTTCTTTTAAAAATTTAACTCACTAGAACCCTGTATAGAGCAGATCAAAGAGGAGCTAGCTGCCCTGATCCAGGCAGAAGTGAAGGTGAGGAGGATGGGAGGCAGACACGCCATGAAATCAGCTCCTCCCAGCAGTTGTTCAAACATGTCTGTAATTAAAATTATGACTGCCGTCTCTCAGGCTTTGAGAACAATAGCATGCTGAAGTTGTGAAACAGACACTGAGACAAAATGGACAAACAAGGTCAGAAAAAAGTGCTCCTAAAAACATTAGGAGCACTTTTTTATGGACACAACGTAAAAGTTCACACTAATTCAGAAATTTCTAGCTCTTGTAACAGCTTTTAGTACAGTGGTTCTCAGCTGTGGGTGACTTTTGCCCTGCAGGGGACATCTGGCAATGTCTGAAGAGATTTCTGCTCGAGGCCAGGAACGCTGCTGAACACCCCGCGGCACACAGGAGAGCCCCACAACAAAGCCTTACCTGGGCCAAACCCTACCCCAGGGCAACATGGCATCTGGGAACTACTGTCCGAAAGGCAACACAATTTAATGAGACAGTTTTAAAATAAAGCTCAGACACTATTAAATCTGACTTCTTTTCAATCTCCAGTAGCAACAATATTTCAAGACACTTAAGACACTATAAAGTAGAGGTGGACTATTATTTGAAAATTTATCATGATGTTTCATCTCAGTATTCTGTCCTAGTTTAGTTTCATGAAGGTGGGATCTTGATCTTTGCTGTACCCACAATGCCTGACACATGGTAGGCATGCACTATGTTTTTAATGAATGACCAAGTGAAGGAGATTACTAACTGGACTTCTCTCTCCAACACAGCACGATCATTGTAGCCAGTGGTGTTTGAAATGACGAAGTATCTTTGGTTCCAGACAGAGTTATTTCTCACATCCTCTTTGAGAAGCTGGTCTACATACTGCAGCTCATTATCCCAAAGTTTAAATTCCTAAAACAAAATTAAAAAAAAAAATTCTAATTAGAAATGTCCCATTATGCATAAACAATAAAAATAAATAAATAAAACTTCAGCAAAGCTAAGAAGGTAGAACCAAGGACTTAGGATTTATCACATTTTAGAGGGAAGTGATGGTCGCAGGTCAAGGAAATAGAGAGTGACACAAGCATGAAACTGAGGACAGAGCTTGGGAACACACACAGTGCAGGGAAAACTACATCAAAGAAAACTTAAAGGGGAAAAAGAGCCGAACTCACCAGTAAGAGAGTAACTATAGTGCAGAATATCAATTTGATGTGATTTGATATTAATACATAACATTAAGGGCAGCATTCAAAGTGTACATATATGATAAAAGTACAACAAAATCTATGTAGAGAAATATATACAACAGGATTTAGATAAAAATTCATACATTATAAAGCTGTTTTAATAAAAAAAATTATGGGGAGAACAGAACCATTAAAGACGATTTAAAAGAGAATAATCAAAACTTCCAAATGCAGCATAAGCTGGGGACATTAACTACAAAAAAGATAATGGAGATACATTTCTGATTTGATAATAGCAAAAAAGTAAAAACTTCCATGATAGTCCCTAAAAATAGTAAAAACAAATACGTTAAGGAAGACAGCATTTTTGTGAAGACCCCTGTGTGTTGGTGAGTAGTAGAGTTCAGTGGTGTCTGTGTGGGCCACTGGCTGGTGTCCTCACACCATTATCATGAGATCGTATCTCCAACACGCTAAGTAGAGAAAGAGAGAGTAAGCATTTACAGCTTTTTCAGTGTAACAATAATTCCATGTCTGCTGAATCTAATAATAAAAAATTGTGGCTAGTATTTTCTATAATCGTGTGTTTTTTGTTTGTTTGTTTGTTTTATCAGACTCAAGAAATTACAAAAATAACTGTGTATCCTTCCCTTACATTCCCCAAATGGCAGCTTCTTACTAACTAAAATGTAATCCCAAAACCAGGAAAATGACATTAGTACAATGTTGTTAATGGAACTGCTAACCTCGTCCAGATTTTTATTGTACTCGTTTGTGTATACGCGGTGGGGGAGCTGGAATATAGCACTCTGAAATTTTATCCCACGTATAGTGTACACTACAATCAAGATACAGAACTATCCCCTCGCCACACAGAGACGGTCTCATGCTACCACTTTATAATTGTACCCCCTTTCCCTAACCTGTGGCAACCACTGGTCTGCTCTCCATCTCTATAATCTTGAAATTTCAAGAATGGTATCTAAATGGAATCACACAGTATGAAAACCCGTAAGATTGCCCTTTTTCACTAAGTATAATGCCCTTGAGATCCATCCAAGTTGTTGCCTGTATCAATAGTTCACTCTTTTTTATTGCTGAGTAGTATTCCAAGTATGTGTTTATTTTATTTTCAAAGTAATTCATTTTTCATTATATTTTACATAAATGGGATACATCTAAAATACATCCAATCTGCGATGGACTGGGAACAAATAAGGATCCTTCGTGTCTTTACTTGAGAAGCTCTAGTATAAAGTGTCAATGCCAAATAACATACAGGCCTGATATTCTCAAATGTTTAATGTTTAAAACTAATGTTTAAAACTAAAATTCTGTCACATTTCAAATATGTGTGTCATAAATTTTTTTAAGAACTGTCTCATGTCCCATTTTAAGTAATCAAAGAATATACTGAATTCATTAAATTCTCACTGCAAATAACTGAAATATTAAAAATGGTTTCCCACATACAAATAGACTTAGACCAGGGTTTCTCGGCCTTGGCTACTGATGGTGTGGGCCAGATAATTCTTTGTGGTGAGGGCTGTCCTGGGCTTGTAGGATGTTTAGCAGCATCCCTGCCCTACTAGACAACAGTAGCACCATGCCCCTAGTGGGACAATTAAAAATACCTCCAGATATTGCCAAATGTCCCCTAAGGAGCACAATCACTGCTGCTTGAGAACTACTGAATTTAAGAATATATATGTGCCCCA